TTCTTTCTTTCTTTCTTTCTTTCTTTCTTTCTTTCTTTCTTTCTTTCTTTCTTTCTTTCTTTCTTTCTTTCTTTCTTTCTTTCTCTGCCCATCTCACTGTTCCAGCAACTCTGTGCAGCTCCTAGAATAATAATAACAAAAAGTAATAAAAAGGATAATACAAAACATTTAAAATTAGGAAAAGTTTAAAAAACACCAAAAGGAGAGGCCACATGGTGGCAGGGATCTTCTACTGTGTCAGCCACCACCAGCCTATTGGGGCCCAGGTCAACCAGCAGAGGCAAGTTTTAGGCTCTCCCAGAAGGCCAAGATCGTCGAAGCAGGAGACACTTCCAGGGGGTTGGGGCTCTTCTCCTGGACCCCACCAGTCAAAGTTCTTTGACAGACAGGATCTGGAGTAGGCCTTTCCTGCTGGAGCAAGTGGGATAGACCAATCCTATTTAGGAGACATGGCTGTATCCCGGCCATAAAGAGCTTTATAGGTGATAAACAAAACCCTGAGTTGGATCTGGAAGCGGCAACCAGTACAGCTAGTGTAGCCTCAGTGTGATATGGGCCAACTGAGGAGTTCTCCAGAACCTTCTACGCCGCGGCATTCTGCACCCATTGCAGCTTCCTGGGCTGCAAAAGTCACCCCAAAAAGACAGCAGGTTGCAAGCTTGCTTCTTTGAATGCCTGTTAGGCCTTAGATTAAAGAAACGAGAAACAGATGCAACTCTTAATCTTAATTTTGTTGCTTGCGTATTGCCTCTGGGTTACAGAAGGCAGGTTGTAAATCCATCAGGAGAGCCCTCCCCTTAAAGACCAGAAAGAGAAGAACAGTATGAAATCTTTCCAGAAGAAATAAATCAGTTAACCAAAGCTGCTTTCCAAAAGTTGCTGAATTTTCAGTTGGAAGCACCCCCAGGTTTGAGGTTTAGTTGGGGGTGTATACTACTAGACAGGCAGTCCTAGAGTTGCAACCACAACTGACTCTCAAATTCATGTGAAACATTTGTTGAGCGAGTTTGCCCCATTTCGCCACTTTTCTTGCCACAGTTGTTAAGTGAATCACTGCAGTTGTTAAGTTGGTCACCCCGTTGTTGAGTGAATCTGGCTTCCCCGCTGACTTTGCTTGTCAGACGGTCGCAAAAGAGGATTGCTTGACCCCCCCCAGGACACTGCAACCGTCATAAGTATGAGACAGTTGCCAAGCATCTTGAATTTTGATCGTGTGACCGTGGGAAGGCGGCATGTGAAAAATGGTCACTTTTTTCCCTGCCGTTTTAACTTTGAACTTCTGTACATTGCTTTTATGCACAGTACAATGTGCCCAGTGGTGGGATTCAATTTTTTTTACTACTGGTTCTGTGGGCATGGCTTGGTGGGCGTGACAGGAGAAGGATTCTGTAAAATCTCCAGTCAGAGGTGGGATTTGCCGGTTCTCTGAACCAAGGGTGGGATTCAACCATTGTTATTACCAGTTCCGTTGACTACATTTTGCTGCGCGCGCGTATAAAACAACCTTAGGCTGTGCTGCCCGGACAGCTGACAAATGCTGCGCATGGGTGTGCAGCATTTGAAAAGCCTATTTTTTCCTGCTTTTTCAACCTCAGCCGTGCCGCGCAAAGCAGCTGAGGTTGAAAAAGCAGGAAATAAAGGACAGGTAAGAGCCCAAGTGGGCAGGTGGGCCAAATAGCAGCAAACACAGAACCGGTTCGGTGTCTGCTGCTCTTCAGAGCTACTGGCTCTATAGAACCGGGCAGAACTGGTAGCATCCCACCCCTGCTCTGAACTACTCAAAATTTCCGCTACTGGTTCTCCAAAACTAGCCAGAACCTGTTGAATACCACCTCTGAATGTGCCAGATTTCCTCAAATTCAACAACTGTCCTCAACGACAAGTTATATGACAGATATATAATAAACACAATGGATTGGGCTGTGTGGATTACCATTCATTCCACCACTTCGATCTAAAGGGACAGCACAACAAAATCCAGGACTAAGGTTAAATTACAATTCATGTTCATCCCCCAGGCCCTCAAAAACTCTTCTTCCTTTCCTTTCAACATCTCACTCAAGAGAGAATTGTGGGAAATTTAAACGTTCTGGTTGGCAGGTCCTATCAAACACAGAGTGTTTTTAACGCAGAAGTCTATTTCTATTTATTTCTGTCCAGAAGCAAAGAGGTATCTGTTGCTATCAGGGGTAAAGGTATTGAACAACTATTTTCTGCATTAAAAAACAAACAAAACAAAACACAATGAATGGTTGGAAACATTTAAAATAATAAGGATCAGGTTCCAAAGTTTACACATACCGTTTCGTGCATTGGCTAGGCGTGCTTGAGTTGAAATCTCTTAATCGGTATATTCCAAAGCAGAGCATATTGTAAGTTTTCAAAGCTTTACAAAATAGATCTCCATAACAACCACCATCCTGGGAAACAATAAGTAAACAAACAAATGCATAAAAGAAATGTCATTCTCCCCCCCTCCAATGCCTCAGTTATCACTATGACACAGAACATGAGATAAATAATTTACAGTAAATTGGTAGTTCCTTGCCAAAGAAAGAAAAAACGTGTAAGGGAATCTGTTGCGAGTAAGAGACAATTCCTCGATGAACTGTCTCATTTAAATGTTTAATCTCGGAGCAGCTAATAAATATGTGCACAACCACCCTAACCACAATCAAAGAATGGGAAATGGGGATACCAATTGAACTTTATTTGAAATGAATTCCCAAGCATGGGGTACACAGATCAGCTTTTCCACAAATTAAGAGCAATGCAATCCAGGATGATTATGAACATGCCACATTCGCTTTCTTGCTCTAAACTTGGAAACAGCTTCATTTGTTCATGTTGTTAATTGTCATGAAGCTAATTTGGATTTTGGCAAGGAGAAAATGATGTCATAGGAAAGGACTGTCTCACCTTGGTCTAGGAAAAGCGAGGAGGAGGGGGGAAAAAGCAAAGAGGAGGAGGAAGAGGAGGAGGAAAGATGGAAAAGAAGAGAAGGAAAAGGAGACAGAGAAGGAGGGAAAGTGGATAAGAGGAAGAGAAGAAGAGGAGAGAAGGTGGAGAATAGAAAGCGAAGAGGAGGAGGGAAGATGGAGAAGAAGAAGAGAAGGACAAGGAGGAGGAGAAGGAGGGAAGTTGGAGAAGAAGAGGAAGAGGAGGAGAGAAAGAGAAGGAGGAGGTGGGAAGGTGGAGAAGAGAAGGAGAAGGGAGGGAGAAGGAAAAGAAGGAGAAGGGAAGGTTGAGAAGAGGAAGAGAAGGAGAAGAAGGTGTGGAGGAGGGGAGTGGAAGGAGGAAGAGGAGGAAACATTTTACATATCAAACTTTCCAACTTCCCTAAGCCATCAATTTATTTTGATTACAGGAATCAAACAACTGTTTAGTATGTCAGATTCACCTACATATCATTGAACAAAATGTGTTCGTTGCTCTGGCCTAACCCATCTCATGGATAGCCTCCACCCAAACTTCTACAGCTTCTTTCACCTACTTGTGAGGGCCTTACCCCAAGATCTGCAAAGGGTCCATCCAGCAAGGCCAGCTGAGCCACCCGGCACCTGTCCCTATTGGTCAGCGTCTGGGGGGTGCTGTAGCCACCCCGGAGCGTATTCTCTTCGGCGATCAGGGACTCCAGTTCTGGTGTGGCCCCTCCCGTCACCAAAGTCCGTATCAGGGTGAGAATATTGTCATTGAAGTACGTCTGCAAAGAGAAGAAGATGTCTCCTTAAGCAAACACCATTAAAGGCCCTTTTCTGCACCAAAGTTCTTGGCTGTCTCTTCGAATAATTTCCCTCTGAAAATGCACAGACAGGAGACCCCAATTACTCTATTTTTTTCTACCCTATTAAACTTCCACTGGATTTGTCCCTGTGTGTGTGTGTGTGTGTGTGTGTGTGTATGAGTTGGTATGTGTTGGTGTGTGTACTTATCTAACTCAGGATATAGTACAGAAATGTAAATCATGTGCGTTCCTTATAATTGGGCTCCTGGAGAAGGAGCATCCGCCTTCCTTCTCATGGCGTTCATGTCTAATACCCTGTTTTCCCAAAAATATGACCTACCCTGAAAGGAAGTCCTAGCTTGATCGTTACACATGCACTCAATATAAACCCTACCCCAAAATAAGCCCTAATTAAGACCCCACCCACTCCAGAGTGCATTAAGCTAGGGTAGGGATGTGTGTCTGTGGAGCTGCCCTACTACTTACCTTTGGATAGTTGTAGCCAGGCCTCGCGCACCCTGACACCTGCCTTGCCAGCCCGCAAGCCTGGCAAGGCTTTCATGAAGGCCTCTAAGGCTGAGAACAAAGCTCCGGATCGATTAGGAGCTCTGTTATCGGCTGCAGAGGCCTTCAGGATATATATTTGTGAAATATAGAACACAATACAGAAACCTGATGATGGCAAATGAGATTCTGCCGAAACGTCGCTACAACTTTAAAAGCACAACGATAATGACGTGGGAAAATACCTGAACAAAGCTGAATACCATACATACGTGCATACATACATACATACATACATTCTGCTGGCCCTTTAAAAAATAAAAATAAAAAGCAAAAACACTTCTCAGGTGTAAAAAACAAGTGATTTATGAGGTAAGATTTATTCCACTGTGATGTTCTGCCAGCACTGGAAGCTAGCTAACCTGGTCTTGTAGGCAAACTGTACATATTTAAATATTAATTGCAGGCCGACATTTATTTATAGGTTCAGTGTTCTGGGACTCCAGATTTATGTTTGATCAAATAGAATATTTTTTTTAGGAAAAGATACCATTATTGTTCATCAGAATGCTCAACCTGGACACACACATGCACACTCTCAACTCACAGGGACAATCGCTCACTATCTTGAACTGCCTCCAGAATAAGTTATAATTTTTCCAAAGCTTCTGTAATCTCAGCCCATCCACTTAATCTGCTGACTTCACTTTCTGCTTGTCTCTCACCCTTGCCAAGTTGTTTTCTTCTAGTCTCATATCACAAACACAAAACAGGTAGGTGTGGACAGTACCCTCAAGTAAACAATGGTCTTCATTTAGTCCAGGGACAGCTGAATAGTTGCTCCTAGCCACAGAGGATAGTACTAATGCAGTGACTTCAACAGGTCTATTATCTGCGGTGCCTCATTTTCTCTTGGCAAAATTTCCATCACTCTACAATCCCATCAAAGGAGGATTTCAGGACAATGTTTCCATCTTCTTTCAGCTTTACTCCCCTCTTTTAGAGCACATCCATGATTACTTGACAAGCCCACTTGTTAAGCGTAGATTTCCTTATGATTTCTCTGATCTTCCTTAAACAAAACCCCGCATTTTTCTCCTTATCTTTTTATTCGTTGACATTCTTGATGATGGGGGGCCTTTCTTTGTGATTTGCAGGTTGCACTTGAAGTGTGAATTCATTCCTTGCATTTCTCCTTTGTGTTAGATTTCAACCTTTTGTCTGTCCCTGGGCATCACAACAGCTGAAACACTTCTTTTTTCTCTCTGAAATTCAAGGAAGGTTGTATTTTCTAAAAAAAAAAAAACTATTTTGGTTTCCTGATGTTCACCTTATCCCATGACTTCTGGGCTTCTCCTTTATATATGTTAAATGTACTGTATCTGTTCCTTACCTTGATCTGAAATTCTGACTGTTAGATCCTTGAGGTCACATCTTGTTGGCACAGGTGACTCTGTTTACAGGTTTCTAAGGTTAACCTTCATATTTCAGCACCAATAATTCACACTCCATTCCATTCCATCTGTAAGTATCCAGGCCGACACCGCTCGATCTTCTGTTTCCTATTACGTAGTCAATTTGATTCCAATGTTGCATGCCTGGTGATATCATGTGTAGAATCTCTGTTTATGCAGCTTGAAGCAGGTGTTAGCAATAAACAAGAAATTCTCTTTACAAAACTCTCTGGACCTTTGCCCAATGCAAACCTTTGGGTTCTTGGTTTCTCTAACATTTACACTGCAACCATCCATTCGTTGTACTACATCCTTTTTTTATCTGTTTCGCTTAGCGTCTTTTGCAATTCAAAGTGGCATTTCTCAATGCTCTCTTCCCTGTACCTGTAGCCAGTCAATAATATAGCCATTACTTTTAATAAGTAGGATCCTATCATTTAATCAGATTATTACCCAAGCACTTATTTAGAGTTGTTCCTTCTGAGGTTATTGCCGCATCATTCTTTTATATAATCTCCTGCCCTGAATATACTATGTATGGCCATTCAGAGTCACTGGGTTGAGTTGGGCAGCCATAGAAATTGAATAAACAAACAGACAGGTGAGTTATGGTTCTCCATTCCAGCTCAACCACATTCACTTATTCCCAAATCACTCATTCCAGATGTTCATGATTCATGCTTTTCACCTTCAATCAGAAAACAGCTGGAAAGGACCTCAGATGTCTTCTCCCTTGCTCAAGGAGATCCTAAACCATTTTAGACAGGTGGCGATCCAGTCTCTTCCTAAAACCTCTAGTAATGGAGCACCCACAACTTCTGAAGGCAAGCTGTTCCACTGATTAATTGTTCTCACTGTCAGGAAATTCCTCCTTAATTCTAGGTTGGATCTCTCTTTAACTTTTAACTCTTTAACTTTGAGAATATTCTTTGTTTTTTCCCCAAGATTATTACAGTCATCTATAGGATCACTACATCCCACATGCGAATAACTCCCAAGGATGCAATAAATATAACAGAAGGCTCTAATGAAGAAAGAATAAAGGGTTCCAAAACATGAATGAGAAGATGATGAAGTTGTTAAGGAATATCTATCTATGCTCTCCATCCAGATCCAGGCTGCTTTCTGGCAGAGAGGACTCTTCTTCCATCCAAAAGTTGAAATTAGAAGTTGAATCTGCCTCTTTTGATCTCAGGGGAGTTGCTGTCTTGTGAGAAGGAATGGTCTTTACGAAGCTCCGTAGAAAGAATGGATCTTGCATGATGAGAGTCCAGAACTAAGATCATTATTTCAACCTCGGTGACATCCCAAGAACAGATGTCTTAACAGAGCTAGAAAAGTGATAGTTTATAACATATAAATCTACCCCACATATTTATAATGTATTTTATTATATTGCCATAAATAAGCCCGAGAGTGGTTTATCAGCTGGTAATCCATTTCAACAGCAGGGAAAAGCGGTGTAAGTCTTGTCATTTTATAGAGCCTGCCAACTAGTTTTTTTTTTAAAGATGTTAATTTAATTGATGCTTTTGACTGCAAAAAAAATCTACATTTCAAGGCATTTCAAGGATTCTGAAAGAAGAATTACATTCTGTGACATTTGATAGGTAAAGGTTCCTCTCGCACATATGTGCTAGTTGTTTCTGGCTCTAGGGGGCGGTGCTCATCTCTGTTACAAAGCCAAAGAGCCAGCACTGTCCGAAGACATCTCCGTGGTCATGTGGCCGGCATGACTAAATGCCGAAGGCACACAGAATGCTGTTACCTTCCCACCAAAGGGGTCCCTATTTTTCTACTTGCATTTTGACGTGCTTTGGAACTGCTAGGTTGGCAGAAGCTGGGACAAGGTATGGGAGCTCACTCGGTTATGTGGCGCTAGGGATTCAAACCGCCAAACTGCCAACCTTTCTGATCGACAAGCTCAGTGTCTTAGCCACTGAGCCACCACGTCCTTTGTGACATTTGATAGTTTAAACTCAAAAGAGACCTTCTTCCTCTACATTATATAGTCCTAACAATTCTATTTCTCCTTGCTTTTATCATTCCATAGATAGTCTTCCATGCTTCTGTCTCTTCCTATCTCCTCTTTCTCTTGCACTCCTAGCAATTTCCCCACAGCCTGCTTTGCGCTTTTCATTTTCAGTTACACGTTTGTTTTCTATTTTTCTTATTTTCACTTTAATCAACTCAGTAAGAGAGATGCGGAATTGTGGGGTTATAAAACACGACCATTGCTCTTTAACTGGGGAGACACCCATACAAAACAACCCCTCCTGTTTTCTAAATAATGCTGTATCTCTGGATTGAAATGCAGGTGTTTTTTCTTGAGGGCCATCTATATAGCCAGTGATACCTACCTACCTATATATTCATCTGTCTGTCTGTCTACCTGTCTCTGTCTGTCTTTGTCTATTTATGTACCTACCTATCTGTCCACCTACTTATTTACTTACCTACCTACATCTATCTATCTATCTATCTATCTATCTATCTATCTATCTATCTATCTATCTATCTATCTATCCATCCATCTGCTTACATCTATCTACCTACCTACCTACATCTATCCATCCATCCATCCTTTATAATATCTACCTACCTGTCATCTATCTACTTCTATCTATCTATCTACCTACCTACCTACCTACCTACCTACCTACCTACATCTATCCATCCATCCATCCATCCATCCATCCATCCATCAATCATCTATCTCTCTATCTATCTTTTATTCCCTGCCCATTCAGTCAGAACTGAAGAAGTTTCTTGGATGAGTAGCAGAACATTTTCAAGGAAAAAAAAAAGAAACCCCCAAGGAAGTCCCGTTGCCTTTTGAATGGCACCTTTGCGTTCTCTTTTAGGCTGGCCCCGGAGGGAACGTAGATCCAGAGCTGAAACTACAGTCTTACCCCAACAAAGGAAAGACAGATGCTTACCGCACTCATGAGGGAATCCAGGACACTAACCGCGAAGGCCGTTCCGCAGGCGAAAGGCTGGGTGAGATAGAGTTCTGTGTCGGGGTCATCATCATCATCTTGATCCAAGAACTGAACGTTAGAATCATTTACTGAAAAGAAAATGACAGCATATCTCTATCCAGAGTGGATCTTAGCAAATAATTTTTACATGCTCTATACGTGAAGAAGAAATGCGGCGCCTGGGTAGAAATGTATCTCGAACGCTTACGTATGGCTGAGAATGAAATTAAAATGTGTGTGGAATCTGCATTTTGAAAATTAATAATAATAATAATAATAATAATAATAATAATAATAATAATAATAATAATAATAATAAT